GAGAAGGACATTTTCACATTTCCACACATCTTATTTTTCCTTTTCCCACGTGTCCTTTCTCACTGGGCAGAGAAGCCAGTGCCCAAGAACAGGAGCACATGGGGAAGCCGCAGCCATGGGGCTGGGGGACAGCTGCTATGGCCATGTTTGGTGGAAGGGATGAGGCTGGCATGTTGTGGAGAGCATGGGCCGTGGTTGGTGGGGTCAGAGTGGGCGAGCACCCCAAAGTTAGCAAGGACCCCTCTGCACCTGCGTTTCCTGGAGTTGGACTGATGATGTGGAGAAGGCGCTCTCCTTTCAGAAGAGGCCACGGGGTCTCCTTCCATTGCCACCCTCACAGCAGGGGCAAGAATGCAGGTGAGGCAGGGCCAGGCAGGTGAGGGGGCCAGGCAGGTGAGGGGCCAGGCAGGTGAGGGGCCAGGAAGGTGAGGCAGGGTCAGACAAGTGACGGGGACAGGCAGGTGCGGTGGGGCCAGGCCTTCCTCCTGGAGTCTGCAGAGGGCTCCGATAGAGGTAACCCTACACAGCCAGCTCTAGGACTGAGGAGTGTGGGGGCAGAGAGGAGAGGCCCTGTCAGCTGAGCAGCAGGTTCAGGATGGCTGTGGCAGGTGGGCAGGGCCGGCTGGAGGCCAGGGCCAGAGGCAGGCTACAGTTGAACCCAGGGAGCCCTGGAATGTGCCTGTGCCCCAGCCAAGCAGCTGCTCCTCCAGCTTCACTTCCAGGAATGTCTCCTCCTCCAGGTGCTGGACAGGCCGCCCTGCAGGGGTGTGGGGAGGCTGAGGGAGAGGCTGTGCTTCCACTGTTCTTCACCTGAGGACAGGAGGAGGGGGAGGCCCAGTGCCGGTGGGCCCTGCGGGCGGATCTACACTGAGAAAGCAGGCGGCACATGTCAGGGCGGAGGGGCTGGGAGCCGCAGAAGCGGCTGCGCTCGGTGACTGGGGTGGAAGTCCCTGCCCGCTGTTGGTCTGGGGGGCCCTGGAGGCCGAGCAGCAGCCTCAAGGCAGACGCCTCAGCTCCCCTGTCCGCTCCTGTGCTTCCTAGTTCTGCTGGTCACTCGTGGGTCCCCACCAGCTCTGTCACCTCAGCCAGCGAGCAGGGAACATTCTGGAACATCACCTCTCACCCTGCGTTGCGGCCCAGCAGTTCTTACTTGGGAGAATTCTGCTGTGTGTGTGCGTGTCTTTCCAGGGCAGGTGGAACCTTTATGCAGGTTTTTGTGTGAATGATTGTCCCACCACTGTAGTATGTGTGTGTGACACATAAAAGTGTCTCTTCATTTACACACGCACAGGCACATTCCTATGCAGTATGACCTGTGCATGTGTGTGCATGTAAGATGCACATTTATAGATGATACCTGCACAGTAGTGAGAGGGTGAGATGCCCTTAGGAGAAATGTCTGACTGCAGTATCGCTCGGGTGTGTATGTGTCACAGGTGAGCGTTGAATGCAGACATGCACGCAGTCTGTGTTGGTGTGTGCATGTGTGTGGGTGTGAGCAGACAGCAGACATTCACACGTTTGCACAGGCACATGTATGAGCACTCATCCACATGCATGCACACAAGCTCTGTAGGTATATGCATATGTGTAGATGTGAGCACACTGCACACACATCACACACAGTCACACATCACACATGGTCACACACCACATTGCACACACATGGTCACACATTACACAGGGCTGCACACACATCACACACGGTCACACATCACATACACAGTCACACACATACACATCACACACACACGGTCACACACCACATTGCACATGCATGGTCACACATCACACAGGGTTGCACACACATCACACACGGTCACATACACATCACATACAGCCACACACATACACATCACACACACATGGTCACAGTGCCACAAGTGTGAACACTCATGCACACGTATGCATACAGACTGTGGGTATATGCATGTGTGTAGGTGTGAGCACACTGCAGACACATCATACATGGTCACACACACATCACACACACAGTTACACCGGCATATGTGTGAGCACTCACACATGCATGTGCACACAGGCTGTGTGGTTACATGTATATATGTAGGTGTGGGCACGCTGCACACATCACACACACGTGCACAGCCACAGGTACGAGCAATGATGGGTGTCTGTGCACTGGGGCACACGCAGATGCCTCCCCCCACGGGCATGCCCGCCGTCAAGCCCCTGCCACAGGGCTGCACCACCGCGTCACGCTCCACACGCCGAGTTCCCACATGGGCTGGTTCCGGTCTCCTCAAACGAACTTGGCAGAGCCAAGTGTCCATATGTAGGTGTGGGTCTCTGTCTTCGCGTCCCCCATGCCCCGACACACACACACAGCTTCAATTAATTAGCAGGGACTTGGAAACCTACAGCCCCTGGCTGAAGGCAAACGCCAGCAGTCCTGGGTTTTTGCGGAGAAACGTAGAGGAGGGAGAACTGTCTGTCAGAGGGCCTTCTTTCAGCAAGCCAGGGAGCTGGCGGATGCCCTTTGTCCGCCAGCGAGTTACATGTCCATAAAAGACGAGCCCGGAGAGGTGGGCCGTCCTTTCAGCCCTGACAGCGCATCAGCACTGGGAGCCGGCGCGGGCGGGAACCAGCACATACCGCCCGTCGAGGGGCATATGGCTCAGGCGTGCGCCGTGGCTGACGAGTTGTCAGGAACTCATGGCAGGGCTTGTTTTGCCAAACATTTCACTATGGAGGAACAAGGACTCCAACCTGGTTATCAAAATTTGACATTTCGAAGCTGCCTGAGGAATTTTTAACCATTGGGTTTCCATGTCAACAGCATGCCCGTCTTCATCTGCCGCCAAGGCTTCCGGCTCACCATGCCCCTGCGCAATGTGGAGGACAGAGTGCCTTTGTTTGCAGCGCCCATGGGCACAGGCAGCGCCCACACACGCGCACACGGCGGTGGCTCTCTGTGCTGCAGGACAGTCCCCCGCAGGGAAAGGAGGAGCTTCCCGTCTGCGTGTGAGTGAGGAGTGGCTGGGAGCTGCCCCGCCAGCCTGAGACCGCCCCTGGACATGCTGACATTGGCTGAGTGATGGCAGCAGGACCTGGCTGGGCTGCAGCTGGCAGAGCTCTGTTGCCTGCAGAGGGGCAGGACCTGGGATGGGGGCTCCCTCTGGACGTGGCTGGACCAGGTGCCTCTCCTGCAGGAGCTCTTAGTGAAGGCTGTGGTCAAATTAAAACCCCCTCGGCCTCCCGGTCTGGCAGGCATTGGGGAGGTCCCGCTGACTGGAGCCAGATGGCTTGGTGTTGGCAGAGGTCCCGATGGTACGGATTGTTCTGGGGCTCTTGTTCCGCTGCGTTTGAGACACCCGGGGTGGGGGTGGGGTGGGGCGGGGGAGGCCGGTGCTGCCACCACATGGCCCGGCTCCCTGGGGACCTCAGGACCTGAGGTTCCCGCCCTGTTCCTGGTGCATTTCCAGACGATACCATCATGGTCTGGGAGAGATGGGGTCTGGTTGTGGGAGCTTGGGGGGGGCGTTCCCCACTCCTCCATCCACTCTAGACCAGGGATGCCAGGGACAAAACCCTCAGGGCAGGCTGTGTCTGTGTGCCAGGAGGCACGTGGGCAGAGGACAGGGCTCGGTTTCAAATCCTGGCTCTGCCACTTACTGACTGAGCGTGCTGAATCCCAGCGTGTGGGTCCTGCAGACGGACGCGGCTCCCGTGAGGACCCAGAAGCTGGCAACAAGGAGTTCCCGATGGGTGTCAAACCAAATGCCACGGTCTCCTTCCTGTTTCAGGGGAAGCCCGGCCCAGCAGGGACTGTGGCCAGGGTCCTGCAGCCCTCCCTGGGGCCCCAGAGACCCCTCTCTCCCACGCTGTCAGAGCGCCCACCAGCCTAGACGGCCCCACGGTGTCCCCACACTGAGCCAGGCTCCTGCCTAGTGAAGATAGCAGCAGAGGCCTCGAGCAGACTCCGTCCACATGCTGGTCTCCAGAGGCCCCTCTGGCTGAGGGTGGGGATGGGGCTGAGGGTGTAGGGTCAGGGTGAGGGGGTGGCAGGGGCACGATGCCCTCCATCCCTCCGTGGGCCAATTTGGGGCGGGGGTGCAGTGGACCCAGGCAGTGCATGGACTTTCCTCTCTGCAGCGCTCGGTAAGCTCCATGCCCCTTCCTGAAGGCGGAATCAGGAGTCGAAGCTCCAGGTTTTAGGCCCAGTGGCCTGCTTTTACATTGCCAGGAAGCTGAGGATGGTTTTAATAGTCTTAAAGGGTTATAACGAAAAAAGAAAAATGTGAAACCACAGAGATGGCACTAGTCAGAAACACTGACTACCTGGCCCTCCACCGAAAGTCGCTGCCAGCTCCCGGTTTAGGGGCAGGGATGGGAGCTGGGACCAAGCAGGCGGCGGGGAGGCAGCCCTGGATGAGGGTGCCGAGGGCCCAGCCCGAGCCCTGGCCTCAGCCTGCTTGTGAGCCGGGCCAAGCGGCGCCCCCTCCCCAGGCCAGTGTTCTGCTCTGGCTGACATGGCGTAGCTGGACATTGGCTGGTGAGCTTTCCCTGTCTTGAGACCTTTGGGATACAGTTGTCCGTGGGGTGCTTTGGAGGGCAGAGCGAGGACCAGGTGGTGGCCGGAATCGGAGTCAGTCAGCTCTCCCTGCGCAGGGGCTGCCAGGCAGGCAGCCCAGCGCCTGTGGCCCGTGGCAGGGAGCATGGGTGTGCCTGCTCCTGGGTCTGCGGGTTGGCCGTGCCCTCTGCTCCAGGCCATGGTGGGCTCGGGTCTCTCCCACGCGTCTCTGTGCAACCTTGACCGGCGACTTCCCGGCATGGTCTTGGCAGGGTACATCATAGGACACCAAACTCAGCCTCAGGAGCTCATTCAGGGGCCCCGCCTGGGTCAGACCCACGAACATCCCGTTGACCAAGTAAGTCCCAGGCCCAGTCCCAGGATCAGCAGTTGAGGGAGTGTGTCTCCTTCTACACTGGAGGCATGGAATCCAGTACCCGGGGCTCACAGAGCAGGCAGGAGCGTCGCGTCACGTTTACATCTGCATTTTACGTGTCACTTTTCAGCGTGTGCTTTATAACGTATGCAATAGACTTACATTTTAAGGCATGAATATGTATCGTGGGGGGAATACATGCTCGGTTTTGTAAACCAACGAGATGTGAGTCCACGGAGGGTGGAAACCTGGGGTAGGCACTGGCTGCGTCTTCCAGCTCCGAGCTGCCGGCTGAATCCTGCAGAGAGCAGGACCCCGGGGCCTTCTGCTGACCTGCCAAGTAATTGCCATTTTCAGACCTTGCTTTCTTGGTAAATAATGACATTTCTTCATCTCACTGAGAATACTGGCTGTATGGAAATGAGGACAGGAGCGGCCCAGCCAGGGCCCTGGAGAGGTGGCTAGAAAGACCCTGGCGGGCTCCTAAATTGGTTTATTTGCTGGATAATCGGAGGCAAACCAGACACCCTAATAGGACACTGGCTCCTCGAGGCCAGCCGTGGCCATCGGCGATCGCTCTGCAGTGGTTGTTTCTGTTTCCTGGGCAGGAAAAGCAGTTTGATTTCCCACTTGGCACCTGTTTTGAGACAAAGAGCATGATTGTGCTGACTTTTCCTAAAGACACAGTTACTTTTAGATGGGTGTAGTTTGTCACTGCAGCTTTTCTCTTCCCACTTTGTATTTTTTTAAGAAGCTGGGAGCCCCTCGTGGAAATCGGGAAGGACGGGGAAGGTGTGCCGTGCTGAGCTGCAGCCAGCTGACGGGACCTGCCCACAGGAACAGAGCCTGTGAGCAAACCAGGAAATGTCCAACGATGTCCCTGGAGCTCCAGGGCCCATCAGATAATTTCAGGGGAGGGCTAAATAATGCCAGGAAGGCCACAGGGCTCAGCTGACCAAGGAAGGTCATCCCCAGGAGGTGACACGTTGGCTGAGAACTGGGTAACAAGGAGCCAGATGGGAAACTTCAAAGTCCTCAAACCTGCCACCAGGGCTGAAGGGGGCAGGGGTGCAGGCAGAAGGTGGGGGGGATGGTGCCGTGTCAGGGAGAGAAGTTTGGTTTGATTCGAGCACTGGAGAGAAAAGCAGGGTCTGGCAGAGCCCCCGTCCCATGGATTGGGGGGTTGGGAGTGGCACTGGGGGTCTGGGAAGGATTAGGGGCAGTGGTTGGGTAAAAGCTGGCAGGGCCTGGCTGCAGGAGGAGGAGGTGTCCAACACGCCCTGTGTCCTCTTTGTCCCTGCCCTGCGTGTTGGCGCTACAATCCGCTTGGAATTGGGTCCTGGGAAACGGTAGCGTCTGAGAGCCTGCAGTGACAGGAGTTCATCCCAAACCACTGTGAAGAATGCGGGGGGGGGCCTGCAGGCTCCAGGCAAGGGGAGGGGCACGGAGAGCCGGCAGGAGCTGGGCCGGGATCAGCTCTGCAGCACCCTCCTCCTCTCGGGCTGGCCCCCCAACCCCCAGTGAACCTGCCGGACACCAGGGCTCTGCCTTCCTGGGTCTAGTCTTGCACACGAGAGGCTGAGTGTGCCCAGGTTAGACCCGTGTAGGTCACAACAGTGTGTTTGGATTAGTTTCTCACTGCAGGTGGGAAATGGAAGAGACCTACGGGCTGCAGCCTGCAGGACCAGGGCGGTGGGGGTGGGGGGAGGTGGGTCACCCTCATGGAAGTCTGGAAAACCTCAGAGGGGAGAGGAGGCAGGTGCTGCCTGGACCCCCAGACGGTCCCTCTCCGAGGCTACTTGTGCCCAGCACTGACACACTCCGTGGGAAATTGACCCATTACCCAACCTCTCTGCTCCACTCCCTGGTGCCCCGTGGTCCAAGAGGGCACGCAAGCCTTTGACTACTAGAGTGTTCTCCGCTCCCAGCAAAAACAACCCAGTCCCACCTCTAGGTAAGAAATGCTGAGTTCAGATTTGCACAGGAGTTTGCCTTTTTGCTTTTTTGGCCTCAAATGCATCTTTTGTTTTTCATAAATCCAAGCCCTGCTTCCTTTTCTCCTTGTTCTTTTTCAAGTTACTGTACTAAAATAATCTCATAATTTGCCAGTTATTTCTTCTTTACAAAATGATGTTATTGAGAATTTAGTCACTAACGTACTGTGAAACTTGGCTTCAATTTTAGCTTCAGGTGTTTAGACGAAGATTTGTGGCACTGGGTGTAATGGGTTTGTTTTTGTGTTTGCCTGTCAGACCACAGGAAAAAAAAAAGCAGTCATTCATTAAAAGCCAGCCAGGTAGCACCGGTCCTGGTAGCAGCTCCGTGTGGATGTGAGGCCGCAGACCTGGGCTGAACCCCTGCAGGGGCCTCACCGGAGGAAAGCAGGGATGCTGGGCTGAGGAACGTGTTCAGGGAGAGCGGGTGGAAGAGCAGGGCTGGAAGTGAAGCCCGGGGAGTCTGATGTGGAGCTGCAGCGCGTCTCGAGGCTGGCGTCTCCTGGGTGTGTGTGCTGGACCCAGAGACACCAGGACCCCGGCCCCCTGGGGTGTTTGTACAAGGCCTTGGAGACCCCAGAAGCCTGTACCATTTGGGGCATTTGTGCAAGCACCTGGAGACCCCAGGACCCTACACCCCCTGGGACCTTTATACAGGAACCCAGAGGCTCCAAGGACCTTGTTCCCACTGGGGCGTTTGTGCAGGGACCTGGAGACCCTTCCCATCCCACATGCTTTCTGGAGGGCCTGGAAGACCCAGACTTTCGCTGAAGTGTCTTTCTTTGGGGAGGTGGCCTCTCTCAGAGGAGACAGCCCACAGTTCAGCCTCGGCCCGCTGCTGTCTTCCTTGTCCCAGCTGTGAGGAGCCCAGGCACATTCCTCAGCCCTCCTGTATACCACACAGGGCGACAGGTGCCATCCCCCGTGAGTGTTGGGCGGGGGGAGGACGGGGTGGGAGTCTCGGTGCAGGCCCGCTGTGGGGACTTGGTGTGCCTGGTCACAGTCACACAGGACCCTCGCCTGGGCTCTGGGCTCAGGTCCTTCTTCAAGGTGGGACTTTGCCTCCACCCAGGGACCTGCTGGGGGCCTTGACCTCAGGGTGGCAAGGTCTGCAGCCCTGCCAGGCGCTGGGTCTCAGGTGCCACTGCCCATGCCCTGGGAAGGCCCCAGCAGTGCCGGCTTCCAGCTGGGGGAAGCAGGCTCTGGGCCCTGCCCTGGGCACCTTGGGGACTGCAGGCACCCCAGGGGATCGTGTGGGTGCTGAGTGGGAGGAGCTCCAGGACGCCGAGGTGCGGGGCCTGGCATCAGTCAGCTGCTGTGGCTCCTGTCACAGGATGTCCAGACTGGAGGGGCCAGGGGTGTGTGTATGTGTGTGTGTGTGTGTGTGGTGTATGTGTGTGTAGCGTGTGTGATGTGTTTGTATGGTGTGTGTGGTGTGTGCATTTGTATGTGCATGGTGTGTAGGTGTATGTGAATATGTGTACTGTCTGGGGTGTATGGTGTGTGTTGTGTGCGGTATATGGTGTGTGTATAGTATGTGTGTGATGGGTGTATTTGTGTGTGTGTGTTTGTATGGGGGGTGTGCATGGTGTATGTGTATATGTGTAGTCTCTGGGGTGTATGGTGTGTGTTGTGTACAGTGGTATATGGTGTGGGTAATGTGTGTGGTTTGTGTGTGTAATGTGTGTGGGGTGTGTGTGATATGTGTGTGGTGTGTGGTGCATGTGTGATGTGCTTGTGTGGTATACGTGTGGTGTGTGTGATGTGTGTATTTATGTGTGTGTGGTGTGTGTGTGTGTGGTGCATGTTTGTGGTGCGTGTGTGGTATATGTGTGGTGTGTGTCATGTGTGTATTTATATGTGTGTGGTGTGAATGGGACATGTGCATATGTGTACCGTCTGGGGTGTATGGTGTGTGTGTGTTGCGTCTGGTACGTAGTGTGTGTGGTATGTGTGGTGTACAGTGTGTGGTATGTATGGTGTGTGTGTGGTGTGTGGTATGTGTGGGATATGGTGTGTATGGTGTGTACATGGTATGTATGGTGTGTGTGTGGTGTGTGGTATGTGGGGGCCATAGTGTGTATGGTGTGTACGTGGTATGTATGGTGTGTGGTGTGTGGTGTGTAGTATGTGTGGGATATGGTGTGTATGGTGTGTACATGGTATGTATGGTGTGTGTGTGGTGTGTGGTATGTGGGGGCCATGGTGTGTATGGTGTGTACGTGGTATGTATGGTGTGTGGTGTGTGGTATGTGTGGGATATGGTGTGTGTGGTGTGTACGTGGTGTGTATGGTGTGTGGTGTGTGGTGTATGGTATGTGTGGGATATGGTGTGTGTGGTGTGTACGTGGTGTGTATGGTATGTGGTGTGTGGTGTGTGGTATGCGGGGGCCATAGTGTGCATGGTGTATCTGTGGTGTGTACGGTGTGTACGGTGTGTAGTGTGTGGTGTGTGGTATGTGTGGACATGGTGTGTATGGTGTATGTGTGGACATGGTGTGGATGGTGTATGTGTGGACATGGTGTGGATGGTGTATGTGTGGACATGGTGTGGATGGTGTATGTGTGGACATGGTGTGCATGGTGTATGTGTGGACATGGTGTGCATGGTGTGTAGTGTGTGGTGTGTGGTATGTGTGGGCCATGGTGTGGATGGTGTATGTGTGGACATGGTGTGGATGGTGTATGTGTGGACATGGTGTGCATGGTGTGTAGTGTGTGGTGTGTGGTGACTTGCTGAGGGCCACAGAGAAGGGAGTGGCCTGGAGTCTCTGTCCCCCCGGAGCCCTCCATGCCCTCCCTGGCACCTGTGTCTCTGAACACTTCCTGGGCGCTCAGGGTCGTCTGGCATCCCCAGCGCTGCTAAGAATGAGGCTCTCCCGGGCGTCGGCCCTCATGCCCAATCAGCCAGGCCGCTCCCCTCCCCAGGCAGAGACGGGGCCCGAGTCACTTTTTGCAATAACATTTGTGGAACTTAAAGACAAAATCCTTCATAAAAGGATCATAAAGTGTAATCATGGCCATGAAGCCGGCCTGAATGGAGGGGAGGTGACCTTTCTGGCCACTCTCTGGAGGAAATGCCACCCAGGAAGGAAGGGCAGGAGGTGGGGGCCTTGCCTCCAAGGAGAGCCTCCCTGCCGGTCTGGCCCTGGTGAGGTTGGGGCAGCCTCCTACGGAGGAGCCTCGCTGATGCTCGTGGGACCCTCCCCCTGTGGCGCGCAGGACGCCCCGGGCCGCTGCTGACCGCAGCCTCGGGAGGAGATAGCATTTTTGCTGCAGTGGAGGATGCTGGACCGCACTGGAGGTCTCCCTGCCTGTGGCCTGCTGTGTTCTCGCCTTCCTGGGGGACAGCGGGCCTGCCCAGGCAGAGGCTGCTCCCGACTGAGGCTCCCCGGGCCCTGTGGCATTGCGTTAGACTCTGGATGGGCCGGGCATCTGTGCCAGCAGCAGCTTCCCTCAGGCGGCGTGTGCAGGCCTGCAAGATTCCCTTCCATTTGAGCCTTGTTCTCCACCTGGAGAGGCCTAGGTGCCTAGGGGGCTGCAGAAGCCCCCAGAAAATGAGGCTTTCAGGGCTCAAGTTGCTCTCCCATAAGCTGAGGGGCTCCCAGGGGCCTGTTGGGCTCCAGGCCGCCCACACCGTGGATGTCTGTCCTTGGTCATGTGCCAGTGCCATGGGCACCTGGGTGCTCAGCACGACCAGCAGGGTGGGCTGCAGAGACCACCTGCTCCCAAGTGCTCCGCTGACCAGACCTGTCAGCCAGGGTGTGTCATGGTCTCTGGGGCGTGCACCCTGGGGTGTTGCCTTCCCTGCAGGTCCCATGGTTTATATACCGTCTCTGTGGCCCTAACTTCACGGAGCCCCGCCCAGCTCTGATGCCCGCCACACTGGCAGAGTGGGGTCTCGGCCCTCTGCAGAGCTGTGGACCTGCATTCCCCTCTTGTATTATCTGCCCCCTTTTATGAGAGGAGGCCACACAGGGTGAGCCAACACACCATCTTGGGGTAGTTCAGGCTGCGTACCTATTCCAGGCCAGTCCTGGGTTTGCCAGGGGATCCATCGGCCTGTCCATAGAGGTGACATCTGACGAGGCAGCATCTTGTTGAAATACGCAGACCTCTGCACCACATGCTAATCTGGGCTTTATTCAAATGAGCAGTGTGTCCAGGAGGCTGCATCTGTGCTGACTGCATCAGCGCCATGCCAGCCTCCTCCCAGGCCTGCAGAGAGCGGCATGGTGGGCCACGTGCTTTGCGTCTGCTCACCTTCTTAAGCCCCGATGTGCACCAAGCGCTCACTCTGGACTTACTGCGTCCGTGCGTGCCGGCAGATGAGGGTGCCTGTGGGTCTCCGTGCCACGGAGGCTGACATTGAGAAATTGTTGCATTCTGGCTGTTACCACAGTCCAGGCAAGGCCTGCAGACAAGGCGTGGCCTGGGGTCTGGCACTGCCATCTGAGTTGAGAGAGCCCCGGGAGAGACCCTGAGGGAAGCCAGACGTGGAGCTGAAATCTGTGTCTTCTCCTACCTCCTGCCGCCAGGCCCTAAAGGTGTGAAGGAGGATGCTGAGCACACCTACTTTTCAGTGGGGGCAGCTGCCACCTATCCCTTGCTGTGTGGCGTGAGCAGTCCAGCCAGCCCACAGTGGTTCAGTCACTGGCGAAAGGACTCTCGTGGAAACCATGACTTCCGCCATTTCCAGATGGATTCCGGGACCATAAGGTTCTCAGTGAGTTTTCAGGTTCAAAGGAAGTGGTCTACATTTGTGGGAGATGCCATCCTCCCTCCCTCTTGCTCTGCCCTCCCCCTGGTCTTTCCACCGCTCAGTGAAGCTTGCCATCCGGACCGTGCCATGCTGCCACTTGGCCTAAGGTCTCTGTTGTCAGAATTCCCTGGTACAGTGTTCCTGGTAGCTCCTGCCTCAGTTGGGACTGGATATGCCCCGGGTCCCAGCACTCACGGCGCACCATCGTGGGTCACTGTCACCTGCCCCGGGTCACAGCACTCACGGCGCACCGTCGTGGGTCACTGTCACCTGCCCCGGGTCCCAGCACTCACGGCGCA